TTTTGCAGGTTATTCTAAACGGCACAGATTAAACTGAAACAGAAGTGAACACACATTTACCTTTGATTCAGGAAATGCAGCCACGTGCCTGCAGTGGCCCAGGCCAGAAGGCAGGGATTGCTACAGCAGGCTCTCTGGCTGTGTGTTCATTTCCTCTTTCTGCTGTCCCTGAGGTCTCTGGGATTTGCAGTGCAGAATTACAGCAGCAGAACTCTGCAGGGTTGCTCATCACTTCCTTTTCCTGCTTCCAGGTGTCTCTGGGATTTGTAGTCTACAGTTGCAGCCAGCAGTAAGTTTGAGCAGGGGAAAGGGTGTTTAACTCCCCTCCCTGGCCCCAGACTGCAGCTGGGTTTTTTTTGGGGGGGGGCATCCCCCCCTTGTAGACTGGGTTGCATCCCCAGCCAGGCTAGCCCTCCCCCAACCCACTTGTCAGCCAGCCCTCACTGCTTCAGCTATGGGTGGGGCCAGCCCTGCTGTCTGAACCAGACAGCACAGCCCAGCCCTGCCCAGCAATCTGGGATGCTGGGAAACTGTGATTTAACTTGAACCAGGAAAGGGTCTCAGACAGATATTTCATAAACTAGTTTGAACAAAATCAGTTAAGTCTGATACTACATTCAACCAGGTTTACCTTAAACCGGTTTCAGCCATTTTGAAACTGGTTTATGTGCACTGAGCTTCTGTTCTGTTACAGTTTTCAATCAGTTTCTGATCACTTAAACCTGTTTATGTGTAACTTCTGTCCCTAGCCCATGAGTACAATTGTAAAGCTGGGCTAAAGCTAATAGGATGCTGACAATTGCAAGGTGTTACAGCTCGGGAAGAATAAGCAAACATAGAAATATAAAATCAGTGACACCTGGCTGGATTGCAGCACTATGGGAAGAAACTGGGATTCTTGGTACATCACAGATTCAATATGAATCTGCAGTGTGATACAGCTGCACAAAAGGTGAATTTGGTTTTGGATGCATCTATAGAAGCATTAGATACAAGACATGGGAGGTGGTTAGGCCTCATTTAGAGTATTCTGTGTAGTTTTGGGTTCCACATTGGACAAAATTAGTGAGGGTCCAGAGGTGGGTGACAAAAATGATAAAGGGCTTGGAAGGCAAGTCATTCTAGGAGAGGTTGACGGAAATAGGCATGCTCAGCATCTAGAAAAGGCACTTATTTTAACATGTGCAGCAGGAGGATGTTTTCCATCATGGTCACCTGGCTTTATCTGTGGCTGATTAGGGTTTTTTGTCTGCCTGTGGTTTGTGGTTGTTATGCCTTGTGGTTGTGTCAGGGGTGACTGTATATCTTTGCTAACAGACAAGGGATTTTTATAGGATGGTTTGGATAGGGATGATCCTTCCTCTGGTATAGGGTGGGACTAAATAATCTCTGGAGTTCCCTTCCAGCCCTATTTTTCTATGATTCTATGATGACTACTGTCATCATTAGCATTCCCTCAATTCGGAGATGACAGTTGGGAAGTCATCAGTGATTCCATAGATGATTAAGGAGGCTGATCCAAGATCCATCTGTTCAACTGCAGCTGTGGCAAATGTTTTTTTGGGAAGAAGGAGTAGACCCTGGTGAAACTGGGTCACGGCTCTTTTCCTTTGTCTTTCTTGTCTGTCCATCTCCATAGTGAGGTGAGTTTGCTCGAAATGATCAAAGCCTTATTGTATATCACAGCACCATTGGGGATGATTCAGTATTTGAATCTCTCAGGTTCGGATGATATTGTATTTCTTCAGATTGATCTTCAAGGTGTTCTTGAATCTCTTCTGCTTACCACTAGAGCAGAGCCCATGGCTGAGTTGGGCGTATGGGACCAGTTTTGGGATCCAGTTGTTAGGCATCCTTTTGACATGTTCTGTCCAACTGTGCTGGTGCTGTATAAACATGGCCTCAATGCTGGTGTTGGTTGCTTGACCCAGAACACTGGCATTTATTTTTTTGTCTTTCCAATTGATACAGAAGATTGACTGAAGACATCACTGATAGTAACATTCCAAAGCTTTCAGGTGCATCTGTTGTGCTGCCCAGGTTTCACACCCAGGGTAAGACTGGCAGCAACCTGGTAGATGGGAAGACTGCCTTCTAATTATGATATGTGGAGGAGCAGCTAGTTGTTTTGGGGTGGGTTGGTAAAGAATGCTGGTTTTCGTGATGTTGACAGTGAGTCCAAGCATGTCATATGCTTTGCAGAAGCAATCAAGAGTAACTGGGAGCTCTTGAATTGCATGGGCACATACAACATAATCATCTACACATTGAAGATACAGAATGTGGATGCTGGGCATCGTGGATTTGGAATGTAATCAGTTGATATTAAAGAGATTACTGTCCATGTGATAATGTATAGTTGGTGAGAACTTTTTCCACCCTGCTTATAAATTTGAGCTGGTATATCATCAGGACCACAAGCATTAATGTTTTTCATCTGTTTACTGGCTTTCAAGGTCTCTTAGGAAGTTGGTGGATCTTCAAAGTAGTCCTGAATGGGGTTTGCGGCTTCAGAGGTTTTTGACATTAGAATTTTGGTTCAAGAGTCTCCTTCCACCATGCATTGATGGTGGAGATGTCTTTAAAGGGTATTTTTCTGTCTTTGGACCTCAGAAGAATAGCTCCTTTTGTACTTGGACCATAGATAGCTTTGGTTGCGCTGAAGAAACTACATGTCATGGTTGTCTTTGAACTTTTGAATCTCTTTTGCTTTGTCTTTCCACCACTTTTTCTTTCACTGAACATTTTTATCTGCACGTGTCTTTAACATGACAATAAATGTCTTGCTTCTGTGGATTATCAGGGGCAGTATCCATCCCAAGCCATTTTATGCATTTTAGAAATAACCATTTTGATCCCATTCAAAATCTCATCCAACACAGAGTGTTCTGTTGATTAAAATAACGATTATGCTGCCTGTTTCTTTTCATACCCAGTGATTATTATTGCAAGGGTAATAGAAATGAAAACTTCTTATATCATCTTTTCAATAGCTGTAGTGTAAGGGAAGAAGCTAGTGGTGTTCTGGAATAGCAGGATAATATGAAATAGTCAAAAGAGTAGTTTTCAAGGGGAAATTCTTTGAAGAAGCCAGATATCTACTGTAACTTTATCTTTCATTTGGGAATAATTTTTTGTAAATGATACTCTAATTCATTTTGCTATTCAAGAGCTTCCCTCTTTAACTTTCCTGGGATGCTTTCTTCTAGTGTTAAGTGCTAATTAATCATGGATCCCCAACTGCTGACACATGCACTTGGAACTGGTAATGTAGGGAACATTTTCATCATACTAGTGCAGGTGTTCTCCCACCTAGCTGTGCTTGCTTATAGATGACTCAAAAGTAACCCTGGTGGTTTCCAGCTCTTACTTAAATATAATGATATAATGGGATATAATATAGCAATAATATCAAACTCCTACTCCTAATAAAAAAAAAATCAAACTATTTTTTCTTTTACCAGTCATCAGCATTATCATCATTGAGGCAGACAAAGCACATGTTGGTATCCAGTGTGCTGATTCTCTACAGTGTTGTACCTCACCTAATCATTTATGCTTGTGCACAGTGAGAATATTTGTGCCTGTTCTCATTTGGTAGCTTTGGGCATTTTCTCTTGTACTGGAGTTAATGGCTGTGTAAGGAGAGAAGCTGAACCCAGAGGATGATGGGTGATGAGTGAACAGAAAACAAAAAGTGTTTTTGCTAAACAACTGGATTGGTCTCAGCAGAGTTGAAGGAAATCCAAAATGTTTTCACTCTTGTGTGCTGAATAAAAATGATATAGAAGTCATCTTGGAATTGTGTTCTCTGAGAGGAAAGTATTTCTTGGCATCCCTGTGCCTTTTTTCTTTAATAGAGTGATATTTTGAAGGCATGGGAGATTAAGGTTGTCAGAATTTTTTTAATTTCCCCTTCTCTTCTGGTTCATACTTGTTCAATATTTTAACCACCATTCTAATGGAAAGGCATATGGAAAAATAATTAAGATAAATTAGTGGAGAAACCTGTCATGAATTAACCATTGATTCAAACCTTAAATAAATTGTTCTGTATGAGTTGTATAAACTACCTCAAATAGCCGGACTGTTTACTGTTACATTTGCCACTGGGGGCCTCCTCTGACATGAAGTATACTGTTGTTCATGACTTTAGTAATGTGTTATGTCGTATTGTTTTATGTGATATTATGCCAATACTTGCTGTAGTGCACCATTCTGGTAGGGTGTATTATAGTCAGCATAAGAATCCTGGATAAAGGGGGTTGCATGAGCTACACATTGCATCAGTAAGAAATATAGACACGTTAAACACTGACCTATGGAATGATCACTATGGATTTACTTTATCAAGTATATATGTTTTTTCACAATTGTTTTTCACATGCTATACCCCAAACAATACTTAGCCTGATATATCTTGTACTGGAGGGGGCGCACTTTGTAGGGGGTGCACTGCCAGGCTCAGGGGGTGCATGTGCACCTGTATGCACTCCCTACTCATCACCCCTGGTGTTAAGTATTGATTTACACAAAACAACACAATTAATAGAACACATACAATGTACAAAAGATATAGCTGACCTCACAGGCCAAGTACTGGATAACTTGTTGTTAGAGTCCAGGTCTATAGGTACAAGATAATCTGAACTTCACTTGAACTATCATAGAATCATAGAAAATTAGTGTTGGGAGGAATTCTTAGGAAGTCACCTAGTCCAACCCTCTGCTCAAAGTAGGACCATCCCCAACTATATCATCCTAGCCAAGGCTTTGTCTAGCTGGGTCTTAAGAACCTCTAAGGATGGAGATCCCTAAGCCTCTCTGGGTACCCTGTCCCAGTGCTTTACTAACTTACTAATATCTAACCTAAACTTCCCTGGCTGCAACTTGAGACTATTCCTCCTTGTTCTGTCATCTGCCACCAGGGAGAACAGTTTAGCTCAGCAGTACCCAAACTCTGACAGATTGCGCACCAGCCATTTAAAACAATACAACCTTAAGTACCACCAGCAAATTTTTGACATATAAAGTAATTATAATAAATCTGTTAACGTGTACCACTAACAGGTTGTCGGAATACCACTGGTGGTATCCATACTACTGATTGGGAATCGCAGCGTCTTTGGAACCCTGCTTCAGGTAGTTGAAGGCTGCTATTAAATCTCCCTGCAGTCTTCTCTTCTCGAGACTAAATAAGTTCAGTTCCCTCAGCCTCCCCTCACAAGTCATGTGTCCCAGCAACCTAACTATTTTTGTTGCCCTTCACTGGACTCTCTCCAATTTGTCCACATCCTTTCTGGAGTGGGGGGCCCAGAAGTGGACACAGGTGTAGTCTCACCAGTGATGAGTAGATGGGAATAATCACTTCCTTTGATCTGACTGCAAAACTCCCACTAATGCAGCTCAGAATACCATTAGTTTTTTTCTCAACAAGGGCGCACTGTTGGCTCATATTCAGCTTATTGTCAACTGTAACCCCCAAGTCATTTTCTGCAAAGTTGCTACTTAGCCAGTCAGTCCCCAGCCTGTACCAGTGCATGGGATTGTTCTATCCTAAGTGCAGGACTTTGCACTTGTCGTTATTGAACTTAATGATATTTAAGTACAAGACATGTGCAACCGGCAGGCCTCGAACATGAGGTCTCGCTCTGCTTGGCCTCTGGCATATGGGCCTGCTGGCCGCTTTGTCCCTGGAATGGTCTATTCCGGATGTGATCTTAATGGTAGTTTCTGCCCCCTATCTCGCCCACCACGACTTTGCTGAAACGTTCAGTAGAGAGGCCGGCTACTACCTTATCCGGGGTTGGGACTCTCAGGGGCTCTGGTCTTCTGCGAGGCTCCGCCCTCCCCTACTCCTCGCCCTAAGACCCAGCCATGCTGAGTTGCTTACGATTCCCGGGACCTGTCCCTGGCCTTGTGGTGCCCAGAGACGGTTGGTGGCGACTCCGTTGGTTTGGCTCGACTCTAGACTCTGTGGGTTGGGAATCTTTTTGTGGTTCCCCTCCTGGGCCTCTGGCCGTAGGCTACTCCGCCCAAAACTCCCAAAATGAAACAGTGCCCGCAAGTCTCTCGGGCTTACAAAATTAAAGTTTGGACTCCTGTCTGGAGAGAAGCCTCTCCTTGCTTAATTCCCTCTGCAGCACCTCTCTGGCTGGGTGCTGTGTTTTCTTAACAATCCCTCAGGACTGCTCCTTGACGCTCTGGTTCCCCTCTTCACTCAGTCTCTTGCCGGGTGGTCCCACCTGGCTGAATCCTGCACTCCGCAGTCCCTCCCGCTGCTGGAGTGGAGGCTCCCTGCCGGGATGGGCTCTGGGGTGACCTCCTGACCCGTGCCGCTCTCACCTGACCTGCCCGGTCTTCCTTCATTCCCCTCTCTTCAAGGTGCCTCTCAGCCCTGGACTCTGTCCCTGGACCCTTGTGCCCAGCTCTGCCACCGCAAACCTGGGCATCCGAGGCTTTTCCTTCGACACTCTCCGTCTTGCAGCTGGGAGATGTGTCCCTGCTTCACAGACGGCTGCTGGCCTTTCCCTCGCCTCTGGACAAGGAGCCAGGCTTGGCTCCCCTCCCGGCTGGTCTCCAGTTCTCCTCTCCGGCTTCTTCTCTCGGGGCATCTTTTATCATCCCACGCTGGCTCCGATCATTATTGATCGCAGCTGGCCGCAGTTTTAAAAAGACGCGGCTAATCAGCTGCGCGGGTCCCGCTGTTGCTTCTGCCATTCCCGTGTCGTCGGCTGCAGGTAAGGAACTTGTCATTTTCTTTCATTCCTTCTCTCTTCCCCCCCCCATTTCGGGTCCCGGGGCACCCCTTTTCCCCTTTGGGACCATATTGTGCTGTCCCCCTGCGACACCATGATTCATGTGTCTTCAGCCTGGCCCAGTGCAGTTTGGTGAAGTCTGCTCTATCAGGTCTTGCACGTGCCTGATGTTGCAAGATCAGGCTCTATAAAGTCAGCTTCACAGCTTACCTGCTGTCAAGTGTATTTCTCAGAATTAGCTATGCTGCTACCAGATCCAGCCACATGAAATCAGCTCTATACAGGGGCCAGAATCTCTGGACAGAACCCCATATCCAGGGAAGTCTCCAGTCTGTCTTAGAAAGTCCTACATCTTATTGTTAAACTTGAGTCTTGATCAGGGCCTACTACATATCAGGTCAGGGTGACTTACATTTTTGAGACTTTCGTAATTTATTTTCATGAAATTTCAAAAACTTTTCATAATTTCATAATTTCATTAACATTCTTCAGAATTTCTGGAATCTCCAGACTTTCATAAATTCTTCTGTCTTATATAAAAACATTGACAGACATTATTATCAAGATGGAATAGTGAAACAACATCAAACACTGCACAAAACCGTGCTGCAGCAAAACTGTAGTGTAGATCAGTGGTGCTCAACCTTTTGGTACTGCAAGCCAGGTAAGCGTGGTGGGCTCGTCTGCAGGCTGGATCAGTTCCTGCACACAAAGCCCTGGGTCCTGGCACCGCCTCCTCCCACAGTAGAATGCCAGGGTAGGGTTCAGGGGTCAGGTGCCACTCCCTTCCACATCTGTGCACTGGGATTGGTCCCTAGGGGCCTGGAACTGCCCCCCCCACCTCTGCACACTGGGACTGGATCCTGGGATTCTGGTGCTGCCCCCTCCCGGCCTCCTATGTACAAGGATTGGTTCCTAAGGCCTGTCACTGCCCCTGCCTGCCCTTGCACTCTGGGTTGGGTACTTGATCCAGCTCAGAGGACCTGGGTTTGCCTTGGATCCCAAAATTGGGCAGTAGGGGAGCAGTGCCACTGCTCTCCCACCACCAGATGTCTGGACCTGTGGGGAACCCTGCAGGCTGGATGGGGCAGCAGGTTGGATCTGACCTGCAGGCCAGGGGTTGAGTACCCATGGTGTAGCTATTCAGTTGACAGAGCTAATGTTTCCCTTTTTTCCTAGAATGGCATGACAGAAAGATTTTCTCATTGAGCCTTCTAGCCCCTGGGGATATGCAACTGGCAGGGTCTAAACATATTCCATGTAAATTGCCCTTCTTTCCATGCTTTTATGGATGTTCTATTTTCTACCTCCTATTAACATAGGCATTTTGCATGACAGTGGACCTCCTTGGATGCTCTTCTTTCCTTTACTCCAATATTCACCTTTCTTAGTTTGATACAAAATCTGACCACCTTGGAAAACAATATTTTCTTCTTTGGGGACTGAAACTTCATATACACATGCACAAAGACAACAGGACTCATGTATATACTCAGACATACATCATCCCCTGCAACTTGGGACAGGTCTTCCTGCCATGGAACAAGCACAATTAGAGAGGGATGGTTGGGAAGGATTCAGATGGACCAGTGGCCATTGTATGGGTGAGCACCCTTCATTTGCGGTAGAGGTTTCTTAATTTCTACCATCTGCCAGGGCCAGGTGCTTTCCCTTTACATAAAGGAAGATGATACAAAAGGTATAACGGGTAACCTCCCAAGGCCTTTTGTTCATTTAATCATAGATCCTTTAGCCAGAAAACCCTATTTACTTACTTGGGTAGGATTTCTGTGTGTCTGAGTGCATGTGTGTGTATGCAGGTGTGTGTGTGTGTGTGTGTGTGCTTTCATATCCATTCTCATAAGCAGTAACTAGTCTGACAGTCTCAAAAATACGAGCATTCTGAGGATTAAATTTAAATGTTGTGTCTGTTTCGTTGTTTGCTTTTGAGGTTTTGAGGCGGCTGTTTTATTTTATTTCTCCAACCAAAGTCAGTCCAATAATTATCATTTGTTTTTGTTTGAGTCTAGATACTGAAAAGAATAGGGTGAAGCTAAGAAAATCTGATTGGCAGGAGGAAAATGGCAGTAAAAATAAACACTATTTGTTTTTTTCAGTGTCTTGGTTACAAAGTAAGCATTTGGGAAGCATGTGGGGGGGGGTAAAGGAATATATAGTTCCATATTTAAAGTTTCATAAGACATCTTCTAAAACCCTGGCTACACACACATACACATGCACATAGTTGAGGTTAAATATTAGGAAAACTTTCTCATGAGGTTACTGGGATGGGCTATCCAGCAAGGTTGTTGAATCTCCATCCTTAGAGGTTTTTAAGCCCCAGGTAGACAAAGCCTTGGCTGGGGTGATCTAGTTAGGGATGGTTCTGCTTTGAGAAGGGGGTTGGGCTAGGTGACCTCTTGAGGTCCCTTCCAACCCTCATCTTCTGTGATTCTACGATAAACACATACATGTGCACAGCTGCACACCCACACTCATGCATATTTAAAACTGATTCATGAACTTTTACCAGCACTGGTTTGAGTCAAGTTGATACATGTCTATGATCACGGGTGTATGATGGGGGTGGATTGAGGGCTTGGGAATGTATTAACTGTTCTAGTTGCCTGAAGCATGACTGACAATACTGTTGTTTTTCTCACTAGTAACAAGGTCAGTGGGCTGTGTGACCAAATTAAATATACTTTGTGGGAATTACTGGAGTTCACATTGTAGGGAGCTGTAAGTACAGTGGATTTTGCCCAGAATATCTAGGGTCAGAATTCAATCATTGTCCTCAAATGCTGTTAGCCATCTTCTCTTCTTCTTCCTCACTGAAAATGAAAAACAGTAAATATACAGGTCATTGACTTTGCTTTTCACTTTCTTTCTGTGTATTATATAATAAATTGACTAACTGTGACATAAAGCTACACAGTTTGGCTCCCAGCAGAATTGTCTATTAGAACATGTACCTTGCTATAACAATTACCTAGAAAGTCTTAAAAAGTAAAAAATAGTAAAGCTAATGTGTTGTACGTACACTACAGGAATACAGGCCTAAATAGATACCGCCTCTTGCCCATTCACTGGCTTCAGGGAACCTTGATTAAATGATGCTGAAAATCAAAATGCTTGGGGCCTGATTATGCAAAATACTGAAAACCTATAACTTTCAGTGAGCTCAGACCTCAGCTGGAGACACCTTCATGAGCTGTCTGTCTATCTGCAGAATAACAATGAACAGAAATCATCATTCCAAACTCGCTATTTTTGAATTAGGGAACTGATTGAGCCTACATGTTCAAGGGACATGGTTGTCATGGATGACCTCAATTACCCTGACCTCTGCTGGGAGGAGCACTCGGCCAGATCTGACTAGTCACATAGGTTTTTGACCTGTGTGGAAGACCTTTATTTAGTACAGGAGGTGAACGGGTCAACCAGGGGTAGGCTTTGTTGTATTTGGTTCTAGCCAAAGGGGATGGCCTGGTGGGAGATTGGGGGTCATCTGGGAGACAGTGATCATGATATGATAAAATTCACTATCCGATGTAGGGCAGGGAAGTCAGCCAGTAGAGCAGAGGTGCTTGACTTTAGGAAGGCTGGCTTCAATGAGCTGTAACCTGAGTGGTACTCCAAGATGTACCCCCTCTCCAATTGAAGGGATCAGAGCAGTTGCACGAGTGCTGTGGGAGGTGTAGGGACCCTCCTTCCCTATCAAGCAGAGCCAGATCACCAATGAGGACTTAAACATACATCTTTTAATGAGAGAAAACATGGTGGGAATATAACATATATAAACCAGGTGGTATAGGGGACACTACAATACCTCAAAGGGATGGGATTCAATAAAAGTTAGGCATTCACATTCGTAGGCATATTCATCTAGTTAACCAAAGACAGGTTTAACAAAATATAAAATGCAAACAACACAATAAATAATACTGATTGACAAAATATAAAATGCACAAAATACAAAACACCAAATAATAAAAGATATAGGGCATAGGTACCTGGAGGGGGAAAACACAGTGGCTCCCTCCATTCCAAAAATAATTTCTCTCCTGTCACTTCACTCACCCCACCCAGAACTTGAACTCTGATCTCCTACAGGGTAGGCAGAAATGCTACCACACAGCAGCCACTGCTAGGCCTGTTCTAGGCTGCTAGGCTTTTTGACCTTCTTGAAGCCCCTGCCTCACATCAAGCTGCCCTGTCTCTTGCTGGAGAAACTGGAAGTGGATCTGGGAGCCTCTTGGGTCACTGCACAGCTTTCTGCTGGAGCCAGGCAGGGAACCTCTCCTGCAGGCTACAGCCTCTTGCTGGGGATCATGGAGCTCAGCAGGGAGCCTCTCCACCGGCTGTGCTGCACTGCCTGCAGGTTCTGCTCCTTTAGGCTCTTCTGGGGCAACTGCTCCCACCCTGCTGGCCCAGCTGTTGCCAGCTTTTTGAAATTCCTTCCTCATCGTCCCTCGCAGGTCTCCTCTGAGTCAGCTGCGTTGCCCCTTTTATTCCTCTCCAGGTGACCCGAGGGGCCAATCAGGGGACATGGAGAGTGAGTCTCTGGGGCCTGATTGATGAGGAAAGGGAATCCTAAGCCCTCCAATCATCTTTTACCCTTTCAAAACCCCTGGGCCAAATCACTACCAGATAGCCTGTCACAGAGCTTAAGAAAACAGTGGGAGAGACCCTATGGGAAAAGGGACTGGAGGGGAAGGGAGTTCAGGAACGGTGGTCGTTCCTCAAAGAAGCGATCCTCAGAGCACAGAAAAGGCCCATTCCTGTATGCAGAAAAAGTGGTAAAGGGGCTGGGAAGCCCTTTTGGCTTACCAGAGGAATCAAGGAGTGCTTAAAAAAGAAAAAGGAGGCTTACAGATGGTGGAAACAAGGGGTAGTCACCAAGAAGGAATACACAAGTATAGCCTGTATTTGTAGGGAGAGGATAAGGAAGGCGAGGGTGGTGACAGAGATCAAATTGGTGACCAAAATCAAGGATGATAAGAAGTCCTTTAGATATATAGGAAGCAGGAGGAAGACCAAGGGAAATGTGGGACCCTTGCAGAATAGGACAGGACAGCTGATAACAGTCAGAAGAAAGCTGAATTATTTAATGAATACTTTGCCTCAGTGTTCTTGCACACAAATGGTGGTCAGCCATCTGGTCAGATACTGGATGGATGCAAGGGAGGGTGATTGCCAACCAAAGGTCAGTGTCAAACTGGTGAGGGAGCACTTAGAGCAGCTGAATGTCTTCAAGTCAGCAGGACCAGATGGACTACACCTGAGAGTGCTGAGGGAATTGGCTGAAGTCATTGCAGGACTGTTGGTGAAGGTATTTGAAGACTTGTGGTACTCAGGAGAGGTCCTGGAAGACTGGAAAAGGCCAATATGATGTCAGTCTTTAAGAAGCAAGAGAAGGGAGGATCCAGAAAACTATAGGCTGATCAGTTTGACCTTGATACTGGGTAAAATTTTGGAAAAAAATATCAAGAAGTCCATTTGTGAGAGACTGGCACAAGGCATGATGCTGAAGGATAGTCAACATGGTTTCATTGTGGGCAAATCATCTCTGACCAACTTCGTTTCTGTCTATGATCAAGTAACAAACTGCTTAGATGTGGAAGACACA